GAAAGAGGGAAAGAGCGAGAGAGAGACAGAGACAGAGAGAAAGAGAGAGGGAGAGAGAAAGAGAAAAAGATATATATATATATATATATATATATATATATATATATATATATAGAGAGAGAGAGAGAGAGAGAGTCGTCGCAGTTGAGGGTCCAGCACCCACGGTCTCTGCCGCTGCGCGCCTGCTCCTCCTGGGACGTGCGGTTTCGGGAAGTTCGAGAAATATCCTGGCAATATAATCCGAGCTGCGCCAGAGATGACGTGTTCTATACAGCGATTTATGCAACTCTGCCCCTGTTGGCGGTTTCATCCAATCGGGAGCTTAGACATCACCATAGTGGTGTCAATGGGAGCTTGAACGTCACCATAATGACGTCATTCTAGTGACGTTCAAGTTCCCGATTTGATGAAACTGTCAAAAGCTGGTACCTGCCAGGGGCAGAGTTGCGAAAATGGCAGTATATAGCTCGTCCACTTAGTAAAAAACCATCATGGCGTCAGTTGAACTGAAGGACCGCCTGCAACGATAACTGATTCGCTCTTGCAACTTGATTCTCATGCTTCAACACTAGGGTTCGGGACGTTCGTCAAGGCCAGGTTGTCTTCTCCCCGCCCGCCCAGGCGGAGGTGGAGGCGGCGGCGGTGGCTCCTCAAGGCGGGGAAGTTTAGCCCCGAAGTAAGGGAACCTTCCCCCCGCCACTTTTCGCCTTCCAGTTTTGTTGTGTGTGTGTGTGTGTTTTTGTGTGTGTGTGTGTGTGTGTGAATAAAATATAGCTACGTTGACGACGTTTCGAGCGCTGCGCTGCCTTCTTTTTGGGAGGTGTGATTCCTGAAAATAAACGTTAAATGTCAGGATGCGGCATCTTCCGGGGAGCCCACATTTCATGGACTCCAGTCTTGTAAACCTTGCAAACAAATGTATGCATAACATGAAATAACTACAGTAGCATCTAAAAATAATATTTTATTTACTATAATAAAATGTTGATCGCATTTGTACCCAAACAGGACAGCATTTAATTATCGTAATATTTCAAGTTCTCGACTCGAAGAAACATAAACATAGTTCTTTTATAAAGAACTCAACACCTCTAAAACATGGCTTGCGTGATCCAAATTCAAAGGAAAGTTCTGCACCAAAAACGTGCCCAAGTGGCATAATAAATTCTCAATCTTTGAAGCAAATTCAAAACATCGTTTGAATTACATAGAAAAAATTAGGAATACGTATAGAAAATATTTGTCCCGTATCAATCTCTGAACACCACTCTATAATTGTTTTTGTAAATTATATTTCTTTTGTTGTGATGTTTCAGAAATCTGTTTCCTTTTCGACTAGTACGTTATGCAACATACTTATAGATACAACATTTGCATACTTATATTTTGTATTGCTTTTTGAAATACGTCTTTCATGTATATTCTTTGTTTAGAAAGAATAGCATATTTGCAAAAATAATTTTTATCGTCAAATTACTTTCATTGCGTGACTTTTTAACTATTATTTTTTATAGTAAGTTTAACATCTCTCAGACTACTAACGCTCCCACGCCAAGATGCGATTGAAGTACCTGCACACCTTTTGTAGTTGTTTGCGAAGCCAATACGTTAGCTAACGCGATTAATTCCTTTGATTAATTAGTCTTGCTTGTATTGCCATTTAGGAGACATATTGATAGCACTGGAATGTATTATATAATGCTGATAGTGTGCTAGTAAATGATAATTAAGTTTGTAAACAACTGAGATTAATGTGTGATTGCCTAATGGTGGTTAAACATTTTTTCATTTGTACAGATTACGTTAATCCAACTGCCTTCGTTCGTTGACTTGAAACACGATACACTTATTTTGAAAATACCCTGTTTCCTAGCCGCTAAACAAAGGCGCTGTTGGGTGCAATTTTCCGCATGGAAGGAAAGAATTGAAAAATAAGCAAATGGAAGAAGGAAGGCATTTGAACTTGTTGCACATGTTATTGCGTCGCCCGAAACGGCTCTGTTGATAGGAACGTCCAAGGTTCACGTCCACCGCAGGGTATTTGTAACGGCCCAATGAATACCACGTAAATACGATTCAGCGTTTGAATTAGAATTCTGGAGGCCCGATGTTCTTATCGCTCGTGTCTGTGGTTTCGCTGATCGGTTTCAGCTGAATTGCGGCGCAGCACACAACAAAGAGCGATAGACTACAAACAAACATTCGTTCATCGTTTCCACTACTTTCACTCATCCTTAGCCTGCGCTTTGTGAAGAGTCTAGCGTACAACCAACTCCAGAAGTACAGTCCCAAGCAGATATGTCGAGCAGAACTGCGAATACTTTGTACAAAGTTTAGGAGCGAAGTTCGAGACTTATATACCCGACTTAAAAGCTGTCTAAAAAGGCGAAATACGAAAGAAATATTAAACATACAGATCAACTTTCTTACATTCTTGATGTTAAATGTAACACGTATTAGTAAATTTAATCAGAAATAAATTGCATTTATTTATACTTGGAGTAATTTTTCACAATAGCGTACGCAACTAGGCGAATAATAAAATCACGATGAGAGATTGTTTGGGGGAACGTAATGGTGGAATGAGAAGCAAGGGAAACCATCGAGAGAAGCATGCCATAAACTTCTTTTATTTCTCAAATCGCCACAAATTTTACCGCGAAAATATCAAGATAATTGAACCCAAATACCCAGAGGGACCCCACTTCCGTGCGTAGTTTAAGTACTGCGTAGTTAGCTTATCAGGAAAGCTGCACTTCGTACTGATTACTAAAAACATCAGGCGGATAATGCGATTAAAATAAGTGTATGTGGTTGGCATAATACGCCATTGCATGACCACGGAAACCGATTACAATGCCCAAAATAAAGTCTACCATTGAGAGCCTCTATTTGTTGATGCGTCATGCCCGTTCTAATCGAACTAAAACCTTTTTTTACGATACGCAGCCGCATTATCCTCGGGAAATGCAGTCTCTCCAGAGGTAACGACTGGCCTGGCGGACTCGATTCGGATTCTGACGAGCAAAACTCTTTCGGTCTTTGCGGCGCGCCACGAGTCCAATTAAGATTCCGGAGACCGGGGAGTCTCCGGAGCATTTCGTACGACTCATTTCCCTGTTCAGTGCGCCGAAGTTGAGTGAGTTTTGATTTCGGGAGCAGCAACTACTGTGGTCACTTTTCCCGTAAATGTAGTGCGTGGTATATCCCGGGAGGTGGCTGTGGTCCTCTCCTGCTGGAACGTGAGGCATCGGCTGGTGGGTTTTTTTCTCTCCAGATGTCTCCCCAGCGGGGCACTAGCCCTGTTGGCACAAGTTCTAAGCTCCGTACCGGTCTCCTTGCAAGCGTGGTAGTGCAGTTCAGGTACGAGTAGGTGTGTGTGTTAGGGGAGAAGATGGAACAGGATACGGAAAAAAAGATCGGGCGTTGGCCGTGTTTGTAAAGATATTGCTTAAGTATTCATTGGGAAACCGCAGAAAACTATCGATCAGAAAAACCGTCCGCTAGAATTCTCCTCGAGATTGTGGTTGAATTCAACTCAGCTCTCTATCTAATGTCAAATTCGCCACCGCCGACACTAAAACCCTAGGACCTCTCGGCCTAGGGTTGGTGAAGAGAAAATTGCGTTGCCTCTTAGGGGTCGCAGCCGCTTCAATTTGCTGGTTTGCATAAAGCGGACCATAAACAGTTTTATTTTAAAAATTATGACAAAATAATTTCAGATCATACCTTATTGGACACATGAAACGATATTCAGGGAGAAAACCGAAATGTGAAAATACACTACCTATTCCCAAGTGTCTCAGAAGCCATCTCGAGGACACAAGTGAACAAGCCAACCACGAGCCTATCCACATCTAATCTCAGGAAAGTCGAGCTTGGCTCGGCTCGCTGAATCCAGATTCCGAGCGAATTATTGTCGCCGCAACCCTAGATGAGCCTATCTCGCGAACTAGCCCCCTAGTGGCAGGGCTAAGCCCCACTCCAAGGCCAAAAACCGACGCTGCTACGTAACCATAAAAAAGTTGTGGTTCGATAAAACTCATTGTATGAATAACCAAACGAAGAACAACAGTCAGGAGAGTTGATTCTCGACATAAGGCGCCGAGTTGTCGGAAGAGTCGGCACATACAAGGTGGGCCATTTTATCTATCGGACGAAATATCGCGAAAACTACATATCGGATAAAAAATGGGTAATAAAAGTTGTTCGTTTCGGCAGGGGCCATCCAACGATACTAAACTCCATCCCTACCTACACCCCCTGGGAGAGGGGGAGGGGCAGAAAACATCTTAAATGGGAATCTCCATTTTTATTGCAGATTTGGATTCCCCCCAAAAATTATCACAATTTGACCTATGAATAAAGTCATTTTGGCTGACATATTTGCTCCTATAGATTACAATGGCCCACCATGAATGTTGAGTTCGGATCGCTGAGCTCACCTCACTAAATAAGACGCCCTGCATGTTGTACTTATTGAATGCCAAGCAATTTTGGGAAGACAAGGCAGTGACCATAGTTTCCAATACAGACTTTCAACAAGGCCGGCTCCCCGCCGGCATGGTTAGGCATTTGTGTTGAGATGTAACGATTACATCGTTGCAATGACTGGGTGAATTGGGAGGAATTGTAATGATGAAATCAAGGAAACTGGAGAAGCTGATATATGCCACGAACCTGCTTTGTTCACCACAAATTCCACACGGTTCGGGGAGATATCGAAAGCCAGCTCCAACGAGCGAAGTCTGCCCGCTACACCAGGTCGCCTATTTCTCTAGTGTCTGGGATACACTCCTTTCCATAACGTCGTTCAGCGACTGGCACGTTAACACGAACAAAATTTGGTTCGATTAAATAAGTCTTAGAAGAACAACCAAGCGGAGAACGAAAGTCAGAAGAACAGAGCGCACCTCCCACTTACGTGCGAATTTGGCTCGCCGGGACCCTGCTTACAAGCTAGCCTCTGGGGAGTACTGTGGTAGAGGAATTACTCTAAGATGGGACAGCTCCGACAGGTCGGGAAACAAGAAAGCCTCATGAAAGGCGATGACATTGCAAGTGAGTGAAGAAATCATTTACAAATGAGCTACCTGTACACGAGCACACTGACAAAACGAGTTCATGGAGGTAACTTGCAGTTGCATTGCCAGCAGTGTCCAAGCAGTAGCTGTCGAAGCGGTCCCTTCTTGTAGTAATCTGTCTGTATACTTGGGCCTCTGGAGGCGGCCGTCTCTGCCTCGCTGGCGAGCGCTTTCCGCTCGCCCCTTCGCCCGTCGCGTCGATCAAGGCTCGGCGCGCGCCCAATTGATTCGCGCTCCGCGGCGAGGCGCGGGCCCCGTGATGTATGGGGCGCCCCGGCCCTGTCCCGCCCCCTTTCCGGCCCCCGCTACGTCCCATCAACATCAACATCCGCTACCCACCTCTGTCAAAATGCTTGCAGGGTTTTGATACATGCCAGTCGCCACTGTCCCGATTACCGCCGATACACCTCGTCTCCGCCACAGAGTTTTCCTTACGGGTGCTGCACGGCGCGCTGCCCCATCCTCTCTCTCTCCGCCCGCCCCTCCCCTCCCCGCCCTCCCGTTCCGACCCTGCCCCCTCTCTGCTCCGTCCTCAGTGCGCCACTCTCGCCCCACCCTCTCCCGCCCGCTTTTCCGCCCAGCCATTTTCTCTTCGCCGCTGTTACTGGGGCTCCGCCCACCCGCTCCACACCGCCCCGTCTCTCTCCGCCTCACGCATCCTATCTCCTCCCCTACGCCACCTCTCCGCCACGCACACACCTACTACGCCACGCCCCTCTCCGCACGCCCCTCTCCGCACACCCTCTCCGCACGGCCGCACTCTCACGCCACGCCCCTCTCCGCCACGAACCCCTCTCCGCCACGCCCTACCTCGCCACGCCCTCTCTCGCTCTACGCCACGCGTCGTACCAGCCACGCCCCTCTGCGACGCCACGCCCCCTCTCCGCAGCGCCCTCTCCGCCGACGCCCCCTCTCCGCCACGCCCTCTCCGCCACGCCCCTCTCTTCTGACCAACGCCCTTCTCTCGTCCCGGCCCTTCTCCGTCCGCCCTTCTCTGTGCCGTCCTTCTCCCGTCCGTCCCTTCTCCGTCCTCCCTCTTACGCCCCGCCCCCCTCCACTCCGCCCCCGCCCGCTCTCACTCGTCCCGCCCGCGCTCCGACTCCGGTTCCTGCCCCGCTCACACTTTCGGGCCCCGCCCCGCTCCACTCGCCCCACCCGCTCGCCACTCCACTCCGCCCCGCTACCACTCCGCCCGCTCCACCTCCATCCGCCCCGCTCCACTCCACTCGTCTCCCGCTCCACATCACACTGCCACGTCCGCTCCACTACACTCCCCCGCTCCACTCCACTGCGAGCGACCCTCCCCCCACTCGCTCCACTCACTCCTGCGCCGCCTCCACTCCACTAGCGATCTCCACGCTACCTCCTCCAGCTTCCCCGGCGTCCACTCGAGAAACTGTCCCTCGGCTCCACTACCACTGCCGCCCCTGCTCCAACACCATTGCGCCCATCGCTCCACTCCCACTCCGCCCGCTGACACCCACTCCGCCCGCTCGCACTCCAACCTCCCGCCCCGCTCCACTCCGCCCCGCTTCACTCCACCCTGTCTCTCTCCGCCCAGCCTCTCTCCGCCCCACACCTCTCCGCCCCATCCACCTCCGCCACTATCGCTCCACCCGGCACGACCCTCTCCGCCACGCCTCGCCCTGCCCCGCCAATCGCGCACACCCCTCGCCGCGACCCGTCTCGTCCACCGGTCGCTCCGCCGCGGGCCGCTTTCCTTTGCGTCGCGCGCCCGCCGATTGTTTTCTGCCCGTCTTCCCGGAAGC